GGGAAGTTTCCAACAACAGCATCTCATTATTGCCGTGCTGACTCCAATAAACAATATTTAGAGTCTAATCTTAATGTTAGCAAAATGTATAAAATGTATATTACTCAGTGTCTTTCTGATAACCAAACACCTGTTAGTATGTATTTTTATCGGTTTTTATTCACAACAGAATACAACTTAGCTTTTTACACCCCCAAAAAAGATTTATGTGATGTATGTGAAGAATTCAATACATTAAAAAAACAGTATAATACTCTAACGGAGGAAAAACAGATCATATTTGATAATCATTTTACTAAAAAACAAAACATGAGAATTGAAAGAGAAAAAGATAGAAACAATAAAATTAACACAACTGCTGTAATTTGTTTTGACCTTGAAAATGTTCTACCTCTTCCCAAAACTAATGTTGGATCAGCTTTCTATAAACGCAAATTAAATATGTATAATATGACTGTTCATCTACAAATTATGTCTCATTCTCAAGTATATTGTGCACTATGGCATGAGGGCATTGTTGGGCGTTCTGGGAATGATATGGCTAGTGCAGTACTAAAAGTTTTTGAAACAATTTTTGAACAAAATCCAAATATAACTAATATCATTACATGGTCTGATAGCTGTGTCCCTCAAAACAGGAATTCTATTATGACTTCAGCCATGTTAAGTTTTTTAATGAAAAATCCAACTATTGAGAGTATCAATATGAAATTTTCGACACCTGGGCATTCAGGAGTACAAGTTGTTGACAATGTACATTCACAAATTCAAAAAAATTTTAAAGATATTGACATTTGGTCTCCTATATCGTTAACCAAAGCTATGCAACGAGTAAACCATACAAATCCCTTTCAGGTCATTGAGTTAAACATAAACAATTTTAAAAACTTTCATGCATTAACCAAATTGTTCAAATTTAATACCATCCCTTTTGCATCAGTATCCCAATTAATGTTTACCCAACACTCTCTTAGTAATATTAAGTACAAAACATGTCATGGTCAACTAGAATACATAGAAAAGTGTATTTGTGACTCAACTGATACACTATCAATATTAATTAATCCAAAAGTAGCTGGTATAACTAAACAATTACAAGTTGAAAAAATTAATGATATCAAATCATTATATAAATTTATGCCAGAAGAAGATTTACAATTTTATATTGATCTATTTAGAGTTTGACTTAATATTATATTTTATTAAATTTATATTTCTGAGAGAAATTGATGATATTTAAATTTTACTATTTTCAAAATATTATGTATTTTTCTTTTTTTCAAACAAAGTTATGTAAAAATGATTTATTTTATAATATTAATTAAAAGTTGTTTTATTAAAGAATAATATTACTTAATATAATATGTTGTATATTTTTTCTTTTATACAAGTACAACTATTAATACAATGTAATCTTGTAGTTAAAGGTTATTTTATTTATAATAAAATATGGTTAATTATGAATAAGCCTAAATAGTTGTTAGTATTAAAAAATACAGAAAATAGTTTTGAACATCTAGTTAGTTTCATTTAAGTATTAAAACAATTTAACAGTGTTCTTAAGTAAAATAAATTAGGTGTGATTATGGGCTCAACAAATATATACACGCATACAAATAAATACATTATTTTGTATGTTAGGTTGGTATTACTATTGTAGAAGAAGTTCCATGTGGTACAATACTTTTATTTATATTGTTGCAAAAAGGTTCTATGTTATATTTAATTTTTAATTTTTGGGCCAAAAAGTCCTACCTCTAGAACTATTTGGCTCCAAGTTTGGTTTTATCAATATTGTTTGATCACCAAATTCCTTTTGAATAAACTGTTTTGATAATATAACTACTGATTTAATTTAAAACATTTTGATAATGTATACGTCAAAATCGAACAAGTATAAGCTGAAAAATATTGAAACACATTTGAATTGGCTTTCCTGAAAAATTACAAATTTGAACATAGAACCTTTTGGATCCAAGCCCGCGATTTAGCATTTTTAACAAATGTTTTACCATTGATGTTAGAGAATTTACCATTAGCTACACGTCAAACCCTTTATTTTCAACATGACGGAGCTCCTGCTCATAATGCTCATATTGTTCGAGATCATTTAAATCGAGTATATGAGGGAAAGTGGTTCGGCACTTATGGTCCCATTGAATGGCCAGCAAGATCTCCAGATATTACTCCACTTGATTTTTTTTTATGGGGCCATTTGAAAACAATAGTCTACGCAGATCCACCAGTAAATTTAGCCGATTTAAAAAATAAAATCGTGGTTGCCTGTAATAACCTTACCGAAAATCAAATAATATCAGCAACCAATAGAGGATGTCTACAACGCTTTCAATTATGCGTCGAAAATCACGGAGCAAACTTTGAACAATTTATTTAATTAATTGTGTAATTATAAAAAACTGTTGTTCACTTGTACCTTATCAGTTTATAATAAATAATTTTGTACTCATATTATGTTAGTCTTCTTTATAACAATAAGAATTAATTACAAATGATTTTACAAATTTTTAAAAATAATAAAAAATGTATTATTTATTAAAATTTACATGGCTCTTATTCAGTCAATTTTGAATTTAAAACCATACTTGATTCATAAAAATTACTTATAAAAAATAGGCCTATCCAAATATAGTGTTCAAAACAGGTGTTACCATTTAAAAAAAAGGATAATGTACTGCGCATGCGCAAACTATATGAGTTAAAAAAATTATTAGTTATAGGAATGTATGACCTATTAGTCTAGTTGAATGCCCCACAAGCAGAATTGAAAAATATTTACAGGGTAATGAGTTATTAAGTGTTCCCTGTTTCCGTGAACACACTGTATATGCGGATATCTAATGAGAAAATGTTTAGAAAAACATGTTTGTCAGGATTGTATTAATTATGCTAATTATCAACAAAAACTTGAACAATCTTTTATTTTATTTTTTTTTTCAAATGTACTTCTAATGACAATTCTCTTTATGGAAAATTATTAATGCCACACCATGACTTTTACAATTACATCTTTAAATTAGAAAGTATTTTTATAGAACATTTTCCTTCCTTAGCAACTGAAGACAATGTATGTTTAACTTAGCGTTAAAAGATTTATTAGTAGACACACGTTAAAAACACCCTTGTGAATATTTTAACAAAACATTTTTATTACTACTTAATATACTTTTACTTTTACTTAATATTACTACTTTTATTACTTAGAATTTTTTCATCCATTACATTTTTAAATAAATCTTTAGTAACAGAAAGAGTTAGGAAAAATAGAAAATTAACGATTTTAGAACATTTATAAAATATGATTTTTGTTTGTATAATTTTATTATTATTATTATTATTATTACTATTATTGTTATTTTAACTTTATTATTTTTGTAATTTTTTAGTCAAGTACTAACGTGCTTTCATAATTAATATTTCTCATTTGGTAACTATCAAAGTCTAAATTTTCCTATTAAATAAATTATAATGTTAACTTGTTATGCGTGTTGATTGTTATATTTATTTTATTATTTGTAATTATTGTTTACGATGATGTAATTTGATTTTGATACTTTACAAAAAAATAAAAAAATAAATTGAATTTATACTGTGTAATAATTTAAATTTTACAGCTCTTAGAGAATAGTAAATGTGAATTTGAGGTATTCCTACTGACTATAGGTACAGGTTATGTAACAATGTCACATACTTCTACCTACCAGTATATTTATTCAGAATAAATCTTTAATTTGTCTTAGCAATTGCGTGTACTAATTACACAAGTTCCAAAAAAATAAAATAAAATTAGTACTGCTTAGATTATTTAAAACCAGCGTACGTAATTTGTTTTGTAATCTTCTGTGTACCTATGCATTTTTGTTCATTCATCAACTAAATGATAGTGATAAATATATGTATAGTTTTTGTTTTTCTTAGGTTCTGTACTTAGATAAATGGTAAAAATGCAATTTCTTAAAAAAAATCGGTTTGATTGTTTGAATATAATAATATATTAGAAATTTGAACGAATAAACAGTGCTGCACGATATAAAGAAAAAAAAGGGAAATTCCTGGTACGTGGCAGCACGTTTAAATTCTAGAAATGTCGGACGTGGTTTTATCATCTCCCATAAGAGCCTATGTTAAATGAAATATGATTCCCTTCTGTTTGTTCTGTGATTTAAGGTACAGACAACCAAAGATAAGATAATAAATTCGAAAGAAAAACCTAACATAGGTAATATCACAGATTATATGAAAACAGAAAGTGCACTTCCTATGCTGCAATGTAAAAAATGAATACGGTGCTGTGATTGGTCTCCGCCCAAATCAGTGTGATCACAAATACCAATGCTAAATTATTGAACATACATACATACTATATTATAGAAATTTGATTTTGCTTAGTGAACTTTTCAATTTCAACTCAATACTTAAAATATTATACTCAGGTAAAAGTAATATAGAAATAAAATATGAAAAATGTTATTTACAAACAAATATTTATTTAAATTTTTCACAATTTCAAACAATATAATATTAACAATTAAAATTAAATACATATTATACATTTATTATAAACATTTTGATGGAGTACAAAATGTTTATACAATTACCTAGCTTACTTATTAATACTAAATACTTTCTAATTTATTCATAAATGATTTAGTATACATCATTTTCTATTGTTTTTTATTTTTTCTGATATTAAATTCCTATTTAAAAATTTAATTGCAGCATGAATTCTAAATACAACATTAATCATGCTTAATTTTAACTTAATACCTACTTCTTTGTTAATAGCTATGTGTGGAAATCTATTTATAAATATGTTTTCCAATTCATCAATATAATCATAAAATGCATGTTGTGGCATCATTAAGTTGCCAAACATTGTTTTTTCTGCATTCTCATATGCTTTGAAATAGCAAAGTAAAAAGGACTCATTCAATTTGTTTTGTGATTTTGCATATTGAATACAAATATTACAAGAGTGTTTTTCAATGCATTTCTTCATCCACAAATCCACAAACATATATGAAAGCATTTTTTTCTGGCATCGGTAAATTCCTATAATCTGGGGTGCCTATTGCAAGTATATTTTTTTTAAATTGAAATGGATTTTTATCATGAAATATTATTTTTATGTTTTTGTCATTTAAGGGATCTGTATTAATTTTAGATAAAATTTCATCCAAGTCTCCTATGCAATTTGCATTGTCAGAGTGGGTAAAATAATTGAGACAAAAATTTTGTTTATATGACCAGATAAATTGTATTGGGGTTGGATTAATATTATTTCCGTTATGTTGGGTGCGAAACGTGCCAAATAAATTTTCCAACCTATCTTGATTGATTCGACTTGTATACAGAACATAACTCTCATCAGTATTGATAACTTTTAGTGATTCCCACAATTGAAATAAACCAGAGATTGAAATTAACCAACCTCTAATAAATTTCATTTGGTTTGTCACTTCAACATTTGTTTTTTTGTTAAATACTTGTAATGTTTTAAAAAAGTTTTCCATAAATTTTAAATGTGAAATTTGCGAATCAGTATTTTTAAAAGGTCTATTAAATTGTTTTAAGCCAGGTCGTCTAGAAGAATTAAATATGTCAAAAAGTTTATCCATATTTTGAATAAAGTTGATTGTAGGCAATGAAGTATCAGGTAAGTGGCTTGATTTTAAGAAAAGTAGCATTCCAGCTGAGACACTCTCACTAAACACCTGTGCTGCTAAATATACGCGCATTTTTTCAAAAGGCCCAGGAAATATATGAGAATATGTAATTTTAGGAGCAGCGCGAAGATTATTTTTACTATCTTCATTATAGAATGAAACCAAATGTTTTTTTTCAATTAATTCATTATCATACTTAAAATTATGTTGATAAAACATATTTCTGGTGGCTTTTAAAAGATGTGGTGGATCAAATATATACACTATATTTTTATTATTAATTTCAAAATATGGCCGCTCAGGACTAACTTGAAGTTTATTTGAGAGGCCTATGAAATTGGAACCCATATCACTAACAAATGCTTTAACATTAATTTTAATATTTTCTAGTTTAAAAATACTGGTTAAAATTATGTCCTGCAAATCAAAACCTGTAAAACTGTTTGATATAAAAAAATAAGCAATCGGTTGCTTCCAATTGAAATTTATGCCTTGAACCAACAAGACAAGTACAAACTTTGCTGGATCATACGTTTTGCGATTGTTTGTTTCATTAAACCCTATTATTTCATCCTTACTTATGTTATAAAACAAATTACTTTTTATTGCCATTTCATCTGTTCACAACACACATTCTAATGATTCAGGTGAAAAATGTTGTGTTTTAAATTGTAAAAAATTAAATAATAAATCATTAAGACCAGGATTTATTTCATAATGTTTTGTTATGCGTCTTAGTGTACATGGATTAGGCAGAGCAAGAGTTGATTGCAAAAATCTATATACCTTTGGTCTCAAAAAATAAATTGTTAGAGCTAACTGTTTAAATTCATTGGAATACCTATACCCAGTTGCTTTTGTATTTCTACGATTAATATGTGTACTTATAATTAAAATAAACCAGGAGGTAAAAATTGCTTAGTTAAAGTTAACATTTGTTAAACAGTATTAACATTTGCTAATTGTTGAGTTATGGCATTAATTTGTTTTTTCATATCTTTAATTTCTTTATTTTTGGACTGAAGTTCATTATATAGTTTTAATTTTCTTGGAGTTTTGTTAGTGAGATAAAGTGGAGTTTGGCAAGATGAATCACTAGTAGACACTTGTAGCTTACTAGAAATGGAAGAGGAACCAGATACGTCACTGACATTGGTATATACATTATCATTGTAAGTTAATGAGTGTGATGGACTAGAACATGATGCCATCGCGACCTGTGCCTCAAATTCTCGCATTTGCTTTTCTTCTTCCAATTTCTTTTCCTTTTCTTCTTCCGATTTCTTTTCCATTTCTCTCTTCATTAATATTCCAGCTAATAATATTTATAAATTCATATTAAAGTAGTTCATTTATTTGCATGGCATAAGCATATGCATTGAAAAAAATTAATAACATTTGATATTTTGATAATGGAATAAAACAATTTTATTAAATTAAATTTTAAAAATTTCACAGAGTAAAAATCTTACTTTAAAAGAAGAAATATAATATATAGGTAATAATTAAATTAATGTAAATAAACTTAATTCAAAATCTGTAATTCATTGGATATCCTCAGGACTCTGGAGTGCAACAATAGATCATTTCCTGAGAAGAACCTTGGTGGTTGAACTATCAATATGCATCTCTCAGCCGTGTAGCCGCAGCAAAAGCAAAGCAAAAGCAAATTAGAATAGTTTCCATTTAGTCTTAAAAATATTAATTATAATAAACAAAATCTTACCACTAAATATGGTTGGCACAGCATTCATTGTAAGACGGTTCCTACTATTTGGATTTAAAAACATTTTGTCTTCAAAATGAAAACCACACACCCTGTAATTTTTGTATAAAATAGTAGCATCTGTTTTCAGTAAATGTTCAGTTTGACATTTTTCCATACATTGTTTACACCTATAATAAATTAGTAACGTAACAAATTGTAATGCATACATATGAAAATCATAAAACAAACCTAATTACTCACCTCAATGGGTCGCTTGGAAATCTGAAGTAGCTTATATTTTTCGTTAGTGACATTTTACTGTTGCAAAACTTGACTGCACAAGTAGTCATTTTTTAAAATAAATATGACAGTATAAATATAAAATATTACAAAAAAAAAACTATTTTATTTAAGCAAACACCAAAAATCGTAAAACGTCAAACGCCAAAAACACGTGAAAAGTGAAAACCAAACATCAGACTATCAAGTATAAAGTATCAGAGTATTGATAACAATATGTTTTGTTTGTCGGATACTCGGGTATCACTATCAGGTAAGCCACAAGTATACGATACATTTCAAGTAATTTTAATCTGTTGAAATGGTCACATTGATTTTTTGTTTACATCTAAGTGCACAATCTGTTTTCATATAATCTGTGGTAATATCATGTATAAACACGAGGCAGATAACGCTAGATGACCAACCTAGTGTAGAACTATTTCAGCAGACTCTGTTCTTTTATTTATATCAACAATATTTAAACTGGTTTTCCATTTTCCAGTTCAGATTCAAATTTTACTAGGATGCCTAATAGATATGTTGATAATAATTTATCAACATGTCTACTTTTTAAAAGCTGAAGAATGCTCATATCAATCTATACAAAAAAACATATTTATAAGGTACCTAATGAGTAATTAAGTGTACCATGTTTCGGTGGTATACCTAGTTTCTTACCAATACAAGTCTGATAAACACATGTTAAACCCCAATCTTCTAAAAGTTTCTTCAGTATTGGTAAATCATTAACTGGATAATATAACTCTGACATTTGAGTTGAACAGTTTTGAAGATATAAATCAGGATTTGTAATTTCTACTACTTCAGCCGGGGGCTAAGATATACATAATAATACAAATAAACATTGGTATTATAGAATATAAGTAACTCCATGAATAAGTAGACATAATTTTTTTAATGTAATTTATTAAATATAGTTACGGTACTTACAGTACTAGAAGGTACTTGAAGCATATGCAAAAATGAATCACTTATTTGTGGTATATATTCCATTACTTTACAACTTACAAATATTCTAATAAATTTAAAAAAAATATATATTTTATGATATAATTTAATAATATTTATACATATAAAATAGCATAACCTAACTTTAAATTATTAACAATGTATTAAGTTAGTAGAATTCTTTCAAGCGTGTCATTTTTTGACCTGATGAAACTGTTGTGACATTTATAGGAGGCCCACTAAATTCATTTATTTTAAAAATAAAACAACCATTCGCTTCTTCCTCACTATTATTAACATACTATAACCAAAACATTATTAAGATATATTTTTGGTAAAACATACACTGATAAAGGTCTTTAGTAAAGTCTAGTTGCACCACTGACAATAAAAGTAAAACAAAAATGTAAAAAACTTACCAGAAAGCATATAAGATTATAACTATAATAAGTTGATCTTGGTGTTGACTGCAATATTATGAAACAAATATATAACACTACAGATCACAGAAAATAATATATCAAATAGAACAATTAGTGCCAAACTGCCAATTAAATACACTGCGAATTGCAATGTTGTTGATTGTGATCCAATGCGACAAATCGATATGTGTATGCCGAACGTTAAGTTCCGTACGACAATATCTATAATTATTAAGTTAAAATATCTAAAAAGAAAACAACGGAAAAAACATTACTATAAACATACTATTAACTATTAAGTATTGACAACTATGAACTATAGGGTGCGTTCGACATGGGATCTTATTCACTTTCAGTGCTTACGCTTATTGTAAACGCTTTGAACCGTTCGTTTAGACGTATGCGCTCACAACGACCGTCTCGCCAGAACCGCCCATTCAAAAATTTCAATTTTTTTTTTTACAGGGAATTAGCACGTAATTAGCATGAATTTGCATGACTATCGCCAAAATTTGCATGACAAAATTTACACCTGTATGACAAAAAATGATGTGCGGTGCTGGAGAGACGTCTCGCCAGCACCGCCCAACATCTAAAATTATTAATAATAAAAGACTTGATATGTTAAAATGTAGCACGTAATTAGCATGAATTTGCACGACAGACCCCGAAATTCGCACGTGTCTGGTTCGCGAGAAAAACCCGTTTGACTATTTCGCGCGTCTCGCCAGCACCGCCCAAAATGGAAATTTTGCGAAAATCGAAAAACTGTTTGCGCCAATATTTAGCACGTGATTAGCATGAATTTGCACGACTGACTCCGAAATTCGCACGTGTCTGGTTCGCGAGAAAAACCCGTTTGACTATTTCGCGCGTCTCGCCAGCACCGCCCAAAATGGAAATTTTGCGAAAATCAAAAAACTGTTTGCGCCAATATTTAGCACGTGATTAGCATGAATTTGCACGACAGACCCCGAAATTCGCACGTGTCTGGTTCGCGAGAAAAACCCGTTTGACTATTTCGCGCGTCTCGCCAGCACCGCCCAAAATGGAAATTTTGCGAAAATCGAAAAACTGTTTGCGCCAATATTTAGCACGTGATTAGCATGAATTTGCACGACTGACTCCGAAATTCGCACGTGTCTGGTTCGCGAGAAAAACCCGTTTGACTATTTCGCGCGTCTCGCCAGCACCGCCCAAAATGGAAATTTTGCGAAAATCAAAAAACTGTTTGCGCCAATATTTAGCACGTGATTAGCATGAATTTGCACGACAGACCCCGAAATTCGCACGTGTCTGGTTCGCGAGAAAAACCCGTTTGACTATTTCGCGCGTCTCGCCAGCACCGCCCAAAATGGAAATTTTGCGAAAATCGAAAAACTGTTTGCGCCAATATTTAGCACGTGATTAGCATGAATTTGCACGACTGACTCCGAAATTCGCACGTGTCTGGTTCGCGAGAAAAACCCGTTCGACTATTTCGCGCGTCTCGCCAGCACCGCCCAAAATGGAAATTTTGCGAAAATCGAAAAACTGTTTGCGCCAATATTTAGCACGTGATTAGCATGAATTTGCACGACAGACCCCGAAATTCGCACGTGTCTGGTTCGCGAGAAAAACCCGTTTGACTATTTCGCGCGTCTCGCCAGCACCGCCCAAAATGGAAATTTTGCGAAAATCGAAAAACTGTTTGCGCCAATATTTAGCACGTGATTAGCATGAATTTGCACGACTGACTCCGAAATTCGCACGTGTCTGGTTCGCGAGCAAAACCCGTTCGACTTTTTCGCGCGTCTCGCCAGCACCGCCCAAAATGGAAATTTTGCGAAAATCGAAAAACTGTTTGCGCCAATATTTAGCACGTGATTAGCATGAATTTGCACGACTGACTCCGAAATTCGCACGTGTCTGGTTCGCGAGCAAAACCCGTTCGACTTTTTCGCGCGTCTCGCCAGCACCGCCCAAAATGGAAATTTTGCGAAAATCGAAAAACTGTTTGCGCCAATATTTAGCACGTGATTAGCATGAATTTGCACGACTGACTCCGAAATTCGCACGTGTCTGGTTCGCGAGCAAAACCTGTTTGACTATTTCGCGCGTCTCGCCAGCACCGCCCTAAAGTGTTAATAACCTTCAAATATAATAAAACACTATACATTTAAAAAAAGAAAACCACCCGCTAATAATTTTCAAAATAATATTCTCTTATCGCATCAC